TGATAGGGACATAGATGTAGAGAAATTATATACCTGGTCTTTAGACATACAGTGAGGGGGGAGAACCATGACCCAAAGCAAGTAGTCTTTCTACTGACTGCATCATGCTACTTCCCGGTCAGGATTTTTGTAGATTTGCCTTTTTTGTTATCCTATTCTAATGTATGGCTGGGGGATGATGATGCTTACAATATGGTGTCTTGGCTGGGCCGGAGTGATAAAGACAATCATTTTGAAATTCCTCTTTTTTTAATGTAACAACTACCAAAAACGTATCTCATCAACAGCTTTATGGTCTAATCCTTAAAGAAGATCATATTGTATTGTATTGTTGAACTGAACTAATGTCAGGAGAACAGAGTCCAGAGAGATGGGGTCAATCATTGACTAAATGAAGTGGTTTTCTCTGTGTAATAAGGGAGAAATTGCCCCTATTTATTTCACAATAATTTAAGAAGCTCAACTAAGAAAACAGATGTGTGACTATTTAGAATGAAAGAGTACCTAATGTACCCAACTGAGTAGCCATTGTGAGCCAGGCGTTGTGATGCAGGCATGGCATAAGGATACTACTGGCCACAATCCACTATGTGCCAGTTGAAACCACAGCTTTGTAGAATATGGGAAATTGTTAGGAATTTCAGGGATTACACAGAAATGGAGGTGAGGAAAGACAGATGCAGATCAATGAAGATGGTAACAGCTTACAATGATGGGTTTAACCTCAAAAATGGTAAAGACACCAACTGTTCAACCACAACATAAAGGCTAAAAACACATAGACTTCTAAGTAAATGCAGCAACATGAAACACATAATTTGATTTCAAAGATTTGGTGTACAACAAAAGAATGCAAATATCAGTAATTTTTAATACTGATTACATGTTAAAATGATATTATTTTGGATATACTGAGTTAAATAAAACATGTTTTACAAAAAGATGTCTTCTTACTTTTTTAAGGTGGTTACTAGAGAATTTAAAATTACTGTGAATTATATTTTTGAATTATATTTCTGTTGGACAGTGCTGCTCTAGAAGGATGTATTGTGGCCGAAAGAAAAATCTGGGAAGTGGATGATCATGAAAAGGCTAATCACAGTGGATGCTGTCTTGGTGATACATGGACTGAAGACACAAGAAAGAACAAGCTGAGTGTTATTAAGCACACAAATTACAAAAATTCTGATGGCTCATGTGGGAACACAAGTATAGTCAGGAGGAATCTGGAAGATATAGCTGGTGATTCCAAAGTAAATGGACTGAAAAGTAAACAAAGTCGAGGGCTCATAGAATGGTTTTGTTTCATCTTCCACTTGAAGCACAAGTAAATGAAGGAGAAAGAGGTTTATAAAATGCTTGTTAGAAGTGAAGTCCAATCTTCCTCTAGTACCTTCCCTCTGGTAGCCAGTGACTGTTTCACACACACAATCTCTAGGTAGTATAATGCTCTAGTTAGCTGACAAAGCTGCTTAGTACACTCCACCAAATTACTGAACACTGACAATCCAGTTATCTTATTTATCTCCAGAAAATGTTCAGAAAAAAATTTATAATCTCTAGCCCTTTTCCCTGCCCCCAAATTATGAACCAGAATAATGAAAGGACCTGTTGGGATTCCACTGTAAGTGCCCCAAGGCAGGCCCTGTGTCTAAATGAATTCTCAGTACCCAGCCCTTACTGGTGACACAGTAAGTACCCCATAAGTATTTACTAAATACATTTTTAAAAATGGTGGTATACTGAAGGAAAAGTTCACATCTAAACAATATGGAAAGGCTAAGAATGGAAATTTTAGGCTGATAAGCTCACTACTGCAAATAGGTAATCAGATGGATGAGGGTGAGTACCTAGAAATAAAGAGCCAGAAACCAATAAGGGCCTCCTAAAATTAAGTCATGCAGGATAGACCTCATATTCTTTTTTTTTTTTTACCCTGCTTCTACATGTCCAGAGGATGTCTTAAGCAGCACAGTAAATTTTGACTTTCAAAAGGCCTTTGACAAAGTATTTGATTATATCTTTAAAAAATGTGGAAAAGTAGCAGACATGATGGTGGAGCAGTGATGAGACAGTAACAAGTAGAAAAACCATAAAGACTGTTGAGAGACTGAGGCCAACCCAAAGAGATTCTTCAGTAGTGTACCAGGAGTTCCTCTGGGTCAAGTTTTTCCTTCAGTGAGTTGGAGGAAGCATGAAAGGCTTATACTTAGGTAGCAGAAAGATGGGAGGGATAAGTACGGCACTGGATGTAGTTCAGAAGACCCTAACTGGGCTAGAGTATTTGAAAACAGCATTATAAAAACTAATAGGAATAAATGAATGCAGTCTGTATAATTTGGTATACAAATAAATCATAAAAAAACAAATATATCATAATATAAATAAAAATACAGAAACATGAGATAAATTTAGGACAAAGGGGATCTAGTGTGGTAGGAGCTCAGACGTTTATCAGATCACCAACAATACAATGTCAAAGCTGCTTATAGCTAATGCAATGGCAAGCTCCATTAAAAAAAAAATGCAGTTCTAAATAAAACTTGTTTTTAGTTCTCTTATATTTTGTACGAGGCAGTTCACATTTAGAACATCATGACAAGAGGAATTCTCTGGAACAAACAAAGGAGAGCAAACAACAGGCAGGAATAATTGAAGGGATTAAAGATGCTTTCTGATGAAGAGAAAGCCTACAGACTATATGTTAGAGACCTTCACATTCTTAAGAGTTTTTAATTCAAAGTGGCAGGGTACACTCAGTCTGTTCCCAGAAGCCACTTTTTTGAGGAAGGGAGGGAATCACAGATCTCCTTGAGAATTTGATAAAACCATACATCCTCCCTTCCAGGAAAAAAATACATACACAAACATGCTTTTTATACAATTTCAGGGGTTTCTGAATGGATTAAGAACCTTCAGCTTGTAAGTAATAAAGACCCAGGTTTCTGTTTCATTTAAGAAACCATTTCTCCTTCCACTTCTAAAGCAATACTCTTAGACTAGGGACATTGACAGAATTCCTATCCTGGGCACAGGGAGTAGAAGAGTCTTGAGCTGATGACCTGTAGTCCCTTCCCAATTCCAGGATTTTCTAATCTAAAAGGATTTTTAAAAATAATTTCACAGTATTTAGGGAAATATTTAAAACACTATTTGCTATTGTTAATCACACTATAATTTTAAATGCTAACAATTCTCATTATACTCTAGGAAACAAAGGTCGTTCAGGCACTAATGCAACTTATTAGGCATATCTGAAAAGGATTTCATTCACTAGATGTACAACTACAATGGGATCGGGTATAGAAATTATTTCTTGTATTACAAACAATAAAATATTTCTCTCCACACGTTGCCTCTCGAAAAACTTGGCTCCATACAGGGTGTGTGTGTGTGGGGTGTTTGATAGAAGTTCTACAACATACAACATTTGCAATGTAATTCTTTTGTATTTGGGTTACAAGGATTTTTCCAAGCAGCTCGTTTAAGGCATCATTAGAGGGGATAGCTAGAAGTTATCTTATTGGTAGCATTGCATAATTTCTATATTCTGCAGTTCTAGGCAACTCATTGCTGTCTAAACCTAAAGAGCTTTTTTACACATTAGCTAGAGGGAAGGAAAAGGGGTGCATCTAATTTTAATTCTACCCTCAAAGGGAAGTAAGCAAATCAAAGTACTTGAGCATAATGCTTATTTATTTAAAACTCAGGTTCTCCGAAGTCCTAGGTAAGAAAAACTTTGTATCATTCTCTTTAAGAAATATGTCCTGGACTTTACTCAAATTACTTCTATTTAAATGCTTACCACTAGTTCTGTTAATAATCTTGAAAGAGCCCCAATTCTGAAATAATTGCAGATACATTATAGGCAATATTACATGTGTTTCCTACCTACAAGCATATAGGACTATACTGAAGTTTTATAAATGCTTGTTGCTAACGCACAATGTTGCTTCTTGAAATGATTTTCATAATAAGTCTGAGAGCCTCAAGGAGAAGGGGTGTGTGTGTGTAATTTGTTTATGGAATTCCAGTGATAGACATACTCTCTTAAAAATCCCAACTTTATTATGGTTATTTTTCTATTGGGGCAAGTTATTACTGCATCCATTAATTTCTCAGCTTTTTCCAATTTCCATTGCTTTAATTTCCCATTCAAATCAATTTCTTAAAATGGAAAAGAAAATCTGCCATCAGTGGTAGACTTTAAGTGATATAGAGGGCTCATTTCTTTTCTAGTTCAAGTAATAGCCTTCCAGAAAAAAGATTAATGACAATGGATCTGTTTGCTATAGAAAGAACTGTCAAATTCTATCAAAATCAGTCATATTGTGTCCTTAGCTCTGAGCAGAACAAAAGACATTCAGATATTAAGAGGCCATAGGGAATTTCAGGGGTTAGTTTTAGGTTGTACTTTCCATCTGTTTTAGCTATAAATACAGCTGATGAGGAGAATTACCGAGGACATGGTACTCAAACTTCGGTGTGGAGCAAAACCACCAAGGCGGCTTTATCAAAACAGATTGCCAGGACCCAACTCCAAAATCTGTGATTCAGTAGGTCTGGGTTGGGGCCCAGTAACATTGCTAACAAGTTCCCTGGTGATGCTGTTGCTACCAGTCTAGGGACAATGCTTTATAAGCCCCTCGTACAGGAGGATCTCTGATATATAACTGGTTGCAACATCATTTTTCCTTTATCTATTCAAACTTTCATAGCTAACGGTTTCTGATTCATACTCTAGCCTGGACCCCAAAATGGCACATGGCTTTCTGTGGTCTCCGAACCTCTGTAAGGCACATCCTTCTCTAACAATCCTGCAGAAAATATTAGTAAAGAGTACAATATTTCTGGAAGAGGATATCAAAGCCATTTCTCAAGTTCCTCCCCAACTTTCTTTAAAACTCTTACTAAATATTTGGAATGAAATTCAAAAGCAAAATAGTTCATAAAGTCTATCTGGAAGAGGGGACTCCATCAGAATGAAGATTTATACTCACCAGAGAGGAAATATACCCAGTCGTGTGGTGATAAAAACCATAGCAAACATAACAAACAGAAGATCACAAATTTTCTGAAATTTGGCATAATTTGCCATTTTGGCAGCCTGTGAAAGGAAGGAATGTGATATATTAATTTAGTTAAACTGGTAAATGAAAAGCTTCTTTCAATATGCATGAGTCTCCTATAAGATATAACTTACCAGATGCATAAAATTGCCTGCTACTTTGAAATGTCATGCATCATGCATCAGTACTTATAAATTACCCATAAGTTGACTCAAATGTAACATTAGCTAAAAGTAAAACTACTGACTGTCAAAGATTTAATAAAACATTCAACAACCTGAAAAATTCAATTATATCGTTGATCTCAGGAAAACAGAAAAACATGAAAATTCTTGCATTATAGATGACATTAGCAAGCCAAAGACACCAACAGACACCAGAATTTGGCATAACAGGTCAAAGTGAAAGTGCTAGGTAATCCTTTAAAACTCTCTAATCCCAAATACTGAGGCCACAAACTTTATATAAAATATACGGATGGAACCTTGTTTCATTCTTTTCTCCTTTCTACTTAGAAATAAAGGTTTTCCTTAAACAGGCACAAGGAATATTCTGGGGACACAGTTTCTTGGCTTATTCTTATAAATTTAGAAATAAAGAATATGTCAAGATCATGTTATTTCAATGAATCCATTTAGGTATAATTTTCAAATTTATGTTAATGGGTCATCTTCTAGATGAAAGTCACTAATGTTCCAAGTGTCTGTGAGAATTACTCTAATAATTTATGATAGTAAGTTAAGTGACCACTTTTTAAATTATAAATTAGGGAAGAAATTACATCCCTTTTCCTAATGTCTACACTTTTTACAGATGATTCTAAGTAACAACAGGTGACACTGAAAACATAATTTTGCTCGATCACCTTCTTTTTACATTTTCACATAGAATTCACACACACCCACACACAGTTATAAATTGAAGATGTCTTGCTGAATTCATAACATTATTTTCTACTTCTTAGAAAGTTAAATTAGCTGAGTCAAACTTGAAAGGACTGTTGATAATATCCACAGACGCTACAATTTTGTAGCTTTAAGTAAAACATAGAGCTATGAGAGCAATGGATTCCTAAGAAAAATATCTCTTAATTGAGCAGAAGCCAGAGTTCTCAACTTTTAATTTCATGAAGACTTTGAGTATGACATCATGAATTATAGTAAGAAAGAAAAAAAGCATCTTCTGCTTCCTTCTGCCTAAACAAAATGGTAAGCCATTTTTCTCTTACATTCATTCAACAGTATTCAATAAAAAAGCATCAAACATGGAATTTTTCTGAATGTCTAGGTGATAGATCCCACTTCAAAGAGTTGATGGCTGACAAATCTCATTACTTGAATATTCTCAAGCATTAGTATATAATGTAAAAAAAAAACAAGTGATGAAGAATATTTGCTTTTAAGCCAAATGACTGGCATTTCTGGATTGTTTTTCTTTTCTGGATAAAGTGATAGACAAAGATTCAACCAGCTATTTCCATAGACATTAAAGTTGGCAGATTGTACAGGAGTGATTTCAAAATTGTAGACTGTATAAATCTCCACTTTCAAGCACACTCAGGGCTTAACCAAGTGATTACTGGTTTTCAGGAAACTGCCCTTATACACCTATAATACGTGTATGTTTCTTCTTTAAAAACTATGCTAAATAGAATTTAGCTTAAATCACTTAAAAAAATCATAGTGTCACACTATCATCTGACATATCTAGTCCAGTAGGACTGTTTTTCTCTTTCACAGCCTTCTAAGGTACAGAGTTTTTATTTTTTATTTTTTTAAACATTTTATTTATTTATTCATGAGAGACACAGAGAGAGAGAGAAAGAGGGAGAGAGAGGCAGAGACACAGGCAGAGGGAAAAGCAGGCTCCATGCCAGGAGCCTGACATGGGACTAAATCCCGGGTCTCCAGGATCACGCCCTGGGCTGAAGGCAGTGCTAAACTGCTGAGCCACCTAGGCTGCCCGGTACAGGGTTTTTAATGAAGCGTTGTATATATTTCAAATAGTGATTAATTATCTTTTTTGTAGATTCAATTTTGTCATGTGGAATTTCTGTTTATCCTGTAATAATGAGAGCATCTCTATATTCACAGTGACAGTATATACTTCAAGGCGCAGAACTGTGGGCTGATAAGAATAAAAACTCAGAATACAGATACTAAATGAAATTTCTAGAAGAAATTTGTACTCTGGTAAGTTTATCTTTCACCAGATACATAAATTTTTTAGCATAAAGTAAAAAATATTTTATCTGATTATATAACACTATTGGTTGTATCTCTTCATATGGGCCATAATCAAGAGTAAATACTACATCAAAATTTTCCTTGGGATTTTATCTTTTGAAATATGCTAGAAGCATTTTCCTTTTTTTTTTTGTTACTTTGATAATCCTGAATGATAATGGTTTAGAAAGTTAATCAGAATACAACCAATATTTCCTCAAATACTCTTTATACCTATATTTGGAGAGAACATAGTTTTTATATTTAATTGATAATTCATATACATTTTCACTGTAAAAATATTAGGATAAGATGTATATTGGCAGTAAGAACTATGACTAGTAATTAATTTCATCAGGATGTACAATACCATTAATAACTAAATTGAGTTACATACACTTCCCAGATACATCAGTGTGAAACTTAAACACCAGAAACACAACCTATTCAAGTAATGATTTTCCAATTGTAAAACATTCATTTCTTAAGTGTGGGACAGCAAAGGTTTTATTATTCCACTAATAAAGAATGCTAAGATGATGAACATTCTTTGCACAAAAATTAATGGACTAAAGTCTCATTTTACCAACTTAAAAAAAAAAACACTTTGCAGTTTCAAATCCATCATATGCTATCTTTCCCCAGTGCCATCTAGCATAACATGGGAGAGCGGATGATCTTAGAGATTTCATGAATTCTGGATTTCAAACTCTTAAAGATGAAAGGAAACTTTTACCTCTAGAAGAACATCAGCTGAATCGTGAAGACAGAGGACCAGCGTCCCTACTCGGGCCATATTGTTGACATATGAAAAGGAAATCAAGAAAATAGCTACAAGGTGATGCAGGAACATAATGCCAAAGTCCTTGGGGAAGGAAAAACACAGCCATGTTAGTTCTTAGAGGACAGCAGTATTTCCATTCATTTCTTCCATTATTCAACAAATACTTCCTAAGGTTCTTAACAGACCTAGCACTGGAACTACTAAAATGAGTAAGATGTATTTCCTACCCTCAGGGAGCTCACTACAGAATGGCAGATACATACAGGGATCAGTGACTATGGAGGATGTGATAAATACCAAGACTAACACCAGATATAAAGGGTGTTTTGTATGTAAACCAAGGAATTTGAAGCTATGGGAGAAAATGCCTCAGAATTTCAAGCAAACAAAGACATTACTTGGATTTGTACTTTAGGGAAACTCTTTTGGGCAGCATCACAGGTCCAACGGAACCACTTCATAGTCATATCGTGGCTAGGGATTCTTCATCCTTCTCCTGGAATATGTCCATTAGGGTGTTAAAATAATCCTAACATGGCTCTTCTGAAGAATCCTATACAAACAAACTCTAAATTTTAACCTTTACCTGTTCATAGTCATTAGAAAAAGTAATGATTGGCCACCTTTATTTTGGTCAGTTTCAATGGAGCTGGCTGTTGCCCCACAGGAGATCATCTTTCTCTGACACTGATTTATCTCCTGACCATTTGGACATGGTTTCTTATGATATGGAATTTCTGTTGCTTAGAAATACAGACTCTCATTTACTAATATTTTTATTCTGTTTATTTTTAAGATTTATTTACTTGAGAGAGAGAGCATGCAAGTGTATGAGTGGGGGAGCAGAGAGAAAGGGAGAGAGAGAATCTCAAGCAGACTCTTGCTGAGCTCAGAGCCCAATGTAGGGTTTGATTTTGTGACTCGGATCATGAATGAGCTGAAATTGAGAGTTGGATGCTTAAGCGAATGAGCCACCCAGGTGCCCCTTTGCTCATACTTAAATCTATTTCTTCCAAATCTATTACTTGGACTTCTCTGGGATTTAAATGCCAAGATTGGACCTAATGGTGGTGTACTTAAAGCCTTAGAAAAATAAGGCTATTCATGTAAAGACAAATAAATTAACCAAAATGAAAAGCATATTATTACAGAGAGAGAGAGAGGGAGAGAGAGAGAGAGAGAGAGAGAGAGAAGGCAAGTGTATACACACACACACACACACACACACACACACACCCTCTTTATTCAGTAGCTATTAATGTCATATAGTTTTGGATTTGAAAGGTCAAGCTCAGTGACTTTTAAATGTGTTTGAAACATTTAAGCAATGGCCTTTGTTTAGATCTTGCAAATAACTAATGATAATCTATAAGTAATGAAATATTGCTATTAGGTCTTTGTCACTTATTTCATTGTATAGTTCCTATACTGAAAATTTTTTTAATTATTTGGTTTTAATTTATATAACGTGAACCTACAAAGCTATGGATATTTATACTGTTTAAATTCCTGTGATACAGAACCCTTAAAAATGTCTTTTTATGTTTTACAAAACCAAGGTTTAAACAATGATGAAATAAAGTTAAATTTGTATGTTAAACCCAAAAAAAACCTTACAATGTTTCAGTGATTCTGCATATACTCTGGTAAGTTTATCCAGAGATTACTTTTCTGGTTGGAAATGCCAAACATTTACTTATAACCATACATATTGATTTATTACTAGGATAAACAATGCATTGGTGTCCTAAGTAAGGTCAAATGATTTTAAAAATGAATTGCAACTATTTCTCCTTTTCAACTAACCTAGTCTCCAAATTAAGCATGTTAAATTGATGGTGGATATCACTTTTGAAAAAATCACCTCAACAGTCAATTCCAATTGCCCACAGCAGAACTACAGAATCAAGTCTTGCAAACTATTGACCTACCACTATGCTCCTTCCTTCAGAACCACATTCACTGTACGGTTTTCAGCTCACTGGCAGAAATAATGATCATGCTATTAAATGAGTTTCATGAGTGATCATGTACAGACTCAACAGTTTTACCTACTTCTGATTTTCTGATGTTCTTGTGGGATCTAGGATTTTCCTAAATCATTAAAGTTGGACAATACCAAAATGCCTCAGGCATACAATGAAAAAACTGCTCTGATAATGTTTTCCACCAGAAGGTGAAATCTCTTCTCTCCAGGCTGTTATCAAAAATTTATTAGGTTCCATTAACCTGGAGTATAGTGTTCTACCAAACAATAGCTACTTCAAAACAAAGCATTCAGTGGAACTAACCCATTAACCAATATTTTAAACTGTTTCCTAAACATAATTAAACGAAAACATACCACATTGAATCCAATAGTTCAGTGAGTTTATGTTTGCCTACGCTCAATACACAGATTTAAAGTCTAACCAGCTGAGTACCTAACCAGAACGACATTTTCCACATTTCCTATTGTTCAGCCCTGAATGACTGCTCTGGATTACTGAAAGAAAACAAGAGTTTTTTCTCTATATAGTTTAAAAATGAATAAATATAAATTGATTAGAACCTTACGGGTGATTAAGACCATTTTATAAATTAAGTTTCCTAATTTGTATCTGATAAAAATGTCAATAAACAACACAAAGCTTCTGGCCATATAGCAGGCGTCCCTTAAATACAAGAGCCTTGTTTTTGAGACAAAGTTTGCTTTTTGAAAATGATTTCTGCATGTAAATCCCCTGGTTCTAGAAAACATTTATTACTGAGAGACTCAGAGTTATGCCCATGGCAGAAGACCAATTTTCATTATACAGTCATATCTGTATGAATATGAAAAAAGCATGAATAATGAATTTTGTCTTTTACGTGTCTGCTTCAGAGAGCATTACAAATACCTTCAATGAAACCATAAATCATTATTTTCTGTGTTACATCTCCTTACCTTGATACTTTTCTTGAAGTAGGCACTGAGTTTGGTCCAAATAGCAGTTTTTAAATAAATTGTCAACTCAGACCTTATCAATGCAGGGTAGGAAACTCCCTCCTTAGGTCTGTTATTGCAGAAAATGACTGGTGTGTAGGTAGACACAGGCATGGCTGCAGGAACCTTTGCATCTTAGGTTGAAGAATAAGAATGTTTTTCTGCATTTTTGGTGGCAGCAATTAGGTAGAAAGATGATGATTTCTTCTTGGCGTTCAGACTGAGGATTGATTCCAAAGACCTTACTGAAAACAGACCGGTCTGGCCACCTGTTTCACTGGTGTGCCCAGCCTCCTGCTGTTCCACCATATTGTTTCTGGGCATCTTCACAGCCAAGATTAAGGGCTCCTTCTATGTTTACTGCTAAATATAGACCCTGACCTCAACCCTCATTCCAGTGGCTGTTCCTATGTTAATTATCAGAGATGGAGGTTGGGGGGGGGGGGGATGTAGTCATGACTCGAAGTCAATTAGAATGAGTCTGTAATAAAAGAATTCAAGGAAGAGCCATCCATTTTAGAAACTGCTAAGATGATGCTGTTTTTTTCCTTATTACATATTGAATGGCATTTAGAGAACCTAGAATAGCCTCTTGGTCTGTTATGTGTAGCTTCTACAAAAGAAATTCCTGGATTCATGTAAAATTTCAGTTACTTAAGCTCCATTGCCAACTGTTAGAGTGGGAAATGGCATCCTTAATTCAGTTCTCCAGGGGAATTTTTGCAAAATAAAATATTAGTGGTTAAAGGCCAGAGGGATCACCCTCATGAAAACATAAGTCTGATGTTCTATATGATGGAATTCCCTCTGCAATAATCGGGATTCAAAGATTTGGAAATAATGCTCTGTCTACAGGAGGCACCAGAAATTCATCTTCATGTATAAATTTTTATGAACAAAATTAACTCATTTCTCATTTGGGGAAAAAAAATCCTCAAACAATAAGAAACTTGTTCCCTAAATTCCCATTTGCTGGATAAAGTATTCAGAATTTTATATAGTTTCTTTTGGGAATAATCTTTGCAACAAATAAAGGAAAACAGTGGTGAACCTTCTGAAAACAGAAATAAGAAGACCAAGATTTTAAGTGATAGCTGATTGTGTATGGATAGTGAAGAATATGAAATATTTATAAAATGCAGGCAAAGAAAAGGCTCTTCCTTCTCAGGTACAAATGACATGTATTAGCTTTCCTGAACTAAAGAAGTGAAATTAACAAATATAATAAACTTATAATAGAAAATTACCTGAATAGAAATCAGGTAATTAGCACCAGGTTACCCATTTAATAAATTTTCAACTTCTCTAAGGAACAGAAGGACAACATCATAATTTATTTTTCAGAGAGCAAGAACAGAGAGGGAGAGGCCAAGGAAGAGGGGGAAAGAGACAGAATCTTAAGCAGGCTCCACACCCAGCACAGAGCAAATGGAAGGACAGGGGTTCAATCTCACAACTCTGAGATCATGACCTGAGCCAAAATCAAGAGTCAGATGCTTAACAGACTGAGCCACCCAAGTGACTCGGCAACATCATAATTTTAAACTGATTTCATTATACAGCAACTACAAAACAACAGTTGAAAGCTCTCATGGCTGTTTTGTTTGGTTTTAAATAGTTGTTTTTTTTTTTTTAATTTGAACCTTCAAGGTAGATAGAAAATTGTGTGACTTTTGACAAAGTAACATATTGTTTTTTATAGAGATCAATAATAAACTGTCTTCCCATATCTTCACTGGGATTTTGCAACCTGAAGGTAAAACTCAGAAAGTTGGGGACAAGCACAGCTGTCCAGGAAGTGGACTACTAGCACATAAGTTGTCAATGTGCAGGAAAGAATGGCCACTCAGGCTCCATCTCCACTGCGACACAGATGCACAGATGGAGGCGAGGAGGATTTCAGACAAAACTTACATATGGCAAGAATAATCATAGGTACTTTTTCCATTGAGGGGATACGAAAATAGGTTCTCAACCTTTGGCTATAGCTAAAGTCCTGATTAAGAGCATGAAAAAATATATATATATATTTTTAAATACATTTTAAAAAGCTAAGAAACAAGAGACTAAAATCTGTGTAGGTCTTGAGATGATGACTAAAATAAAAATATATTCA